AAATACCACACATAGCAACACAAAACTGCTTTGCTAGCTCAATCATGTTGTAACTAAGATATCCGCTGGAAAAAATATGTTTTTCACGGACAGGTTATTGAGTTTGTTTACATGGCAGTGGAAGCTATGAATGAGCTAACCCTCATCTGCTGAGTTTTAAAAATGCCAGCTATTTTGTTGCTTTCTGTTGACGTCACATTCCGCCTTGAGTATATCCAATCAGCACCAAGTAACCCCCAAGCCCCAGCCAGGAGTTTTTCGGGGCCGTTCTGAGTACCTACTCCGAGACAGGGACTTGTTTAGCCCCTGTAAAAGTTCCGGAACTCTGTCCTTCGGGGGTGGTTCCTGCGGTGGAGACACGCACCAGCGGCCCCGGCCCCGTAAATTTACCCCAAAGTTCCTGCGGTGGAAACGGGCCTATTATACCCATATCTAATCTTCCCTTTCTTTCAAATATCCTTGAAAAAGTAGTTGCAAACCAGCTATGTTACTTTCTCCATGAAGATAATATATTTGAGGAATTTCAGTCAGGATTTAGAGTTCATCACAGCACAGAGACAGCACTAGTAAAAATGACAAATTATCTTCTAATTGCTTCACACAAAGGACTCGTCTCTGTACTTGTTTTATTAGATGTTAGTGCCGCATTTGACACAACTGACCATCAAAATTCTGCTACAGAGACTGGAACATTTAACTGGCTTTAAAGGTTCCGCACTAAGCTGGTTTAAATCCTATTTATCTGATCATTTTCAGTTTGTTCATGTTCATGACAAATCATCTTTGCATACTTAAGTTTGTTTCAGAGTTCCACAAGGTTCTGTGCTCAGACCAATTCTGTTCACTTTATTTATGCTTCCCTTAGGTAACATCATTAGAAATCACTTTGTAAACTTCCATTGTTATGCAGATGATACACAATTATATCTATCAATCAAGCTAGAAGAAACGAATCAGTTAACCGAACTAGTTACCGTTCTCAGCCCCAAACACCTCAGAAATTCTCTATCTGAACATATAGTTTCTCTGGATGACATTGCTCTGGCCTCGAGCACAACTGTAAGAAACCTTGGAGTAATATTTGACAAAGATTTGTCTTTTAACTCTCATATAAAACAAACTAAATGGACTGTGTTCTCTAATCTGCATAACATTGCAAAAAATTAGGCACATCCTGTCTCAAAAAGATGCAGAAAAATTGGTCCACACGTTTGTTACCACAAGGCTTGATTACCGCAATTCCCTACTATCAGGGTGTTCTAACAAGTCTTCAGCTGATCCAGAATGCGGTGGCACATGTTCTGACAGGAGCTAGGAAAAAAGACCATATTTCTCCTGTTTTAGCTTCTCTGCACAGGCTGTAAAATCCAGAATTGAATTTAAAATCCTTCACCTCACTTACAAAGCTCTAAATGGTTAGGCTCCGTCATATCTTAGAGAGCTCATTGTACCCTGTTGTCCCACCACAACACTGGGCTCTGAGAATGCAGGATTACTTGTGGTTCCTAAACATGTATGTCCTATTACTGCATGTCACTAACTCGGCTTCCTCTCTAGAGCATTTGTGCTCCACTGTCTCACAGGTTCCCATGAATCACGGCTACGCCTGAATTGTGATTATGCTGCTGTCATGGTCCTGCCTGATGCCAACTACTACTGCTATTATTATTATTATCATACTTCTACTATTATTGTACGGATATGATTATCATTGTCACATACATATACTGTCATATACTAATATTCATTTATAACATATATTCTACCAAAATGTTAATACTGTTATTATATTGTTACTAAAATCAATGTTATTGTAGCTATTGTCATTTCTGTTTGCCCTGTATCTCTCTCTGTCTTTCCCTCTCTTTTTGTATCACTCTGTCATATTAATTACTTTAATTTATTACGTTGACCTGTTCTGTACACATGACATCTATTGCACATCTGTACGTCCTGGAGGAGGAATCCCTCCTCAGTTGCTCTTCCTTAAGTTTCCACCAATGTTTTTTTTTTTTTTTTTAAAGTTAAGGGGTTTTTGGGGGAGTTTCTCCTTTTCTGCTGCGAGGGTCCAAGGATAGAGGAATGTAGTACTGGTGATGATGCTATGACACAATCCTGCAATCTGGTCTGGTCTAAGTGTATCATGTAATACTAGTGATGGTTCAATTGTCACACAGTGCAGCCAAATGGGCTGTGACAATCCATCAATATGGGTCGATATATCGATTCAATGATCAACAATCCAGTATCATTGAAGCAAAGTGAAAATATTGATCCATATTATCATCTTTAGAACACACTTTTATTTTGAAATTCCGTGTCACCATCAAACAGCAGCAGGCAGCAGCCAGGAGAATAACGTTATTTACTCAGGAATAAATTATAAGGAATAAATTAATAAGTTTCAATTTTAAAGATATACAGGTAAACAGACAAAGCATATGCCAAATGTAAATAATTCTGTTATCGAGATAAAACACAACGTACCTGCCTGGAAGGCACCTCAGTTCACTAACTTCTCACTTCAGCATCATTAGCTGCTCTGTTTCAACAATGTCCAGCTGAAAAAACGTGCATGCAGGCTGAAATTCAACCGAGCTGTTCTGTTGGGAGATACAGTGACTTAAACCAATGGTAAAAGAGATAATAATGTTACATGTAATTCGTTAAGCTATGAGAAGAGGGAAAAAAAGTCTGCTAGGCAATTTATGCAATGTAAACATGCTTAAGCTGATGATGTGTGACTAGCAAAATACAATTGTTTTGTCTGAACTCTAACAAATGCAGGTAGATGTTCTGTTTGGCGAGTTAATCGCAAAAGGGTGTTCGCCACACTGGTGGGTAAATGTCTAAAATAGTAACGTAGTAGCTCAATCTCTACCGTATTTTGGTGTCATTTACAGGAGCACTGCTCTGCCCCTTCTCTGCTGTCAGTGTTGGAGTTTTATGCACAAACACACAGACATATAGACATACAACAGATGTGTTTTACGCACATCTTAACAGTGACATGACACTGAGTGTCTTGAGCACTCCTAGTTTTGCGGCACTGTTTACCATACTGGACATCAGCTAATCCGCTAAACTATCAATTACACTTAAGTTACAATAGCAACACAATTCAGTATTTTTTATATCTAAACATCAGAATAAACCTATAGCTGTTTTGGTCCAGGTGTTCTGCTTAGGACCCAAAGAAGTATGGTGTTGAGTGAAAAGTTGTTTTGATGAGTGTTCTCGAGAAAGCTGCAAGCAGCTATACCACAGGCCAAACAATTATTGTTGCTGTCACAAACAGCCATGTTTTGAACGGGCACTGCACTAGTAGCAATAAAAGTAACTGTGTTATTAGATTGTTCTGATAAATAGCATCTAGTGATAATCTTTATTTTTTTTCCTGTGTATTAATGAGCTGCTGTAAATAGTCCCCAACAAATGCACTATGTTAAGTTGTGCCATAGCTGTACTGGCCAGCTGTTACTAAATTACTGTAATTACTGACTCTTTCTTACTAGATTTTCAAAGGATGTCAACACACCAAGTATTGTTATTGGTTTAGGTCATTTCAGACTTAATTAATCCACTGTCCACTGTCTGATGACTGAGGCCACAGCTATTTATAAATAAAGTAAGGGGAGAGAGCTTTTGTTACCTCAAGGCTGGATTACTCTCTCTATTATCAGGTAGCTCTAGTAAGTCCTTAAAAACTCTCCAGCTAATTCAGAATGCAGCGGCACGTGTACTAACAGTAACTAAGAAACGAGATCATATTTCTCCTGTTTTAGCTTCTCTGCACTGGCTCCCTGTAAAATCCAGAATTGAATTTAAAATCCTACTGTTAACTTATAAAGCTCTAAATGGTCAAGCTCCGTCATATCTTAGAGAGCTCATAGTGCCATATTATCCCACCAGAACACTGCGCTCGGAGAATGCAGGGTCACTTGTGGTCCCTAAAGTCTCCAAAAGTAGATCAGGTAGTTAGGGCTGGCTCAGGCTTGCCTTGTACCAGCCCCTAGTTAGGCTGACTTGGACTTGGGCCTAGTCAACCGGAGGACCCCCTATAATACACCGGTCTCTCTCTCTCACCCTCGAGTCCTATTACTGCATCTTACTAACTCGGCCATTCTGGATGTCACTAACTCGACTTCTTCTCCGGAGCCTTTGTGCTCCACTGTCTCTCAGGTTAACTCGTATTGCAGCGGTGCCTGGATAGTGTGGTGTGCTGTGGTGTGTGTGTAGTGGGTTGTGCTGCTGCCGTGGTCCTGCCAGATGCCTCCTGCTGCTGCTGTTATCATTAGTCATACTCCTACTGTTATTTTACACGTGATTATTGTCACATATGTATACTATCAGATATTAATATATACTTTCAACATATTGCACCACAGTAGCCAGAACTATAATTATAATATTATTACTTTCATTAATGTTATTGTAAGCATCTATTGCACGTCTGTCCGTCCTGGAAGAGGGATTCCTCCTCAGTTGCTCTTCCTGAGGTTTCTACCGTTTTTTGCCCACGTTAAAGGGTTTTTTTGGGGAGTTTTTCCTTATCCACTGTGAGGGTCCTAAGGACAGAGGGATGTTGTAAAGCCCTGTGAGGCAAACTGTGATTTGTGATATTGGGCTTTATAAATAAAATTAATTGATTGATTGATTGATTGATTGATTGATTGATTGACTGACTGACTGACTGACTGACTGATTGATTAGGGTACTGCATGCGCTATGAGCAAACATTTTGTTCATGTCCTCAGCTAGGAGCTGTGCTTAATAAACTTGATCATGGTATCACATTCAGAAAGTATTTATGCAGCAAAATACATCCTACATTTAAATATCTCACTACGTTTCATTTCATTCCAATACAAAATGTAAGCTCTCCCACAGCCACAAAGTGACTCTAACAGAATTGTTATATTAGCAATACTGATGTAGCCCAACACAAACCATCCGAACATCATTCATTCTTTTCAAAGCACCATCTCTTGCATACCCACCTGGTTGGATGCAGCAGCAGTACAGCGGTGCTGGGCCAGCTCCAGCATGGTCCTGTAGCTCTTGCAGCAGGAGGGACAGTCGAAGCGGTTGGGCCCGTCATCGTGGATCCTCTGGTGATTACGGAGGTACCGGGCCAGACGGAAGGCCTTCCCGCACAGGTCGCACATGTAGCGCTTCTGACCGTGGATTCGCATATGGTTGCGCAGGGACATGTAGTTGGTGTAGGGCTTGCTGCAAAAGTCGCACCTACATTTTAGAGACAACAATAGTGTGGAGGTTAGAGGTAAAAAGGGGTAAATGACAATGCAGGCATTCACCTGATCCTCTCCACTTAAAGTGGCCTGCAATGATTTGAGATGGAGGGGGCTCTGTGTCTGAAACTGAAAACAATTAATATCTGGTAGGGATGTCCCGATCCGAGTATCGGCGCTGATCACGTTATTTTTACAAAATTGGAATTGGTATTAAAAGATCGGAGGAATCAAAACAACAAAAATGGCCAGGTTTTTCATCTATGTTGGTCATTGTTGCCTCCGCTTTCCAATGTATAAAGTGTGGCGATCCTGTATATTATATACATATATTTTTTTTATAAGACAGTGTTTATCAGCTGATGGCTTGCTCACCTCCAGACACACCCACCGGTGCTATCAGCCAGTGGGATGGCTCGATCAGCTGAGCCCAGGTAGACCATCCCCTACATTATACCGCTCCTGGCAGTATGGCGAGAGACGCCGGAGAGTGAGAAATGAGCCAGAAGTCCTCTGTGTATTCGGCCCACCACGGATATCAAGGGATCCTACGGAGCCACCACACCCGAAACAACGCCGGAGCATTACGGCGTTCACCCACGGTCCCATGAGTTGGCAAAAGCCTGGGGTTACTTTTCATTTCATTATTCCTTTTTCGGAACCTTCGGGCCGGGTTGATTTATTGTTTTGAAACTGAACTGAGTCAGAGCAAACAGTGGATTTTCTTTACTTCCTTGTTTACGGGAAAACCTGGGGTGGAGTTTTCTTTTGTTTAGCAAACTGTGTGGATTGAACTGACTTGAACTGTGATATGTTATTTGGAAATCCCAGAGTGGAGTTTTTTGTTTGAACTAGATTGAACTGACTAAACCGAACAGAACATTTCTTTTCTTTGGTGAAAAAAATATGTTCTTTCTTGAAACTGATTACAGTTGTATTTGTATTTCTGAAAATTGAGTATAATTCTTCTTCTTCTTCTTCTTCTACAGAAACTAGGGATGTCCCAATCCAGCTTTTTCACTTCCGATCCGATACCGATATTACAGCCTTGAGTTTTGGCCGATACCGATCCCATCCAAGCACGTATTATACATATTCACTTATTTTGTTGTCAGTCATGTTAGAAAAGGTTTGATCAAGCAATATTACTCTAACAAGAACAACTACTTAATCGGGTTAGTTAGAATGATCCACAACAGTTGGTATGAGAAACTGACCTGTTTATTGTTCACAGGGTTAAATAAACAAACTTTAAACTTGAACATTAACATTAACTAAAAAATATAGCTGGTTTGCTTTGGCCCCTTAATAAATACAAAATAAATCATCACAAGAAATCTTTAAAATGTCTAACACTGAAATTAAAATAGCAGCAAGACTCCACACACTTGTGCTTTGGCCCCGCTAATAAATAAAAAATAGATTAACACCACAATACAGTACAGGCCAAAAGTTTGGACACACCTTCTCATTCAATGCGTTTTCTTTATTTTCATGACTATTTACATTGTAGATTCTCACTGAAGGCATCAAAACTATGAATGAACACATGTGGAGTTATGTACTTAACAAAAAAAGGTGAAATAACTGAAAACATGTTTTATATTCTAGTTTCTTCAAAATAGCCACCCTTTGCTCTGATTACTGCTTTGCACACTCTTGGCATTCTCTCGATGAGCTTCAAGAGGTAGTCACCTGAAATGGTTTCCACTTCACAGGTGTGCCTTATCGGGGTTAATTAGTGGAATTTCTTGCTTTATCAATGGGGTTGGGACCATCAGTTGTGTTGTGCAGAAGTCAGGTTAATACACAGCCGACAGCCCTATTGGACAACTGTTAAAATTCATATTATGGCAAGAACCAATCAGCTAACTAAAGAAAAACGAGTGGCCATCATTACTTTAAGAAATAAAGGTCAGTCAGTCCGGAAAATTGCAAAAACTTTAAATGTGTCTCCAAGTGGAGTCGCAAAAACCATCAAGCGCTACAACGAAACTGGCACACATGAGGACCGACCCAGGAAAGGAAGACCAAGAGTCACCTCTGCTTCTGAGGATAAGTTCACCCGAGTCACCAGCCTCAGAAATCGCAAGTTAACAGCAGCTCAGATCAGAGACCAGATGAATGCCACACAGAGTTCTAGCAGCAGACCCATCTCTAGAACAACTGTTAAGAGGAGACTGCGCCAATCAGGCCTTCATGGTCAAATAGCTGCTAGGAAACCACTGCTAAGGAGAAGCAACAAGCAGAAGAGATTTGTTTGGGCCAAGAAACACAAGGAATGGACATCAGACCAGTGGAAATCTGTGCTTTGGTCTGATGAGTCCAAATCTGAGATCTTTGGTTCCAACCGCCGTGTCTTTGTGAGACGCAGAAAAGGTGAACGGATGGATTCCACATGCCTGGTTCCCACTGTGAAGCATGGAGGAGGAGGTGTGATGGTGTGGGGGTGTTTTGCTGGTGACACTGTTGGGGATTTATTCAAAATTGAAGGCACACTGAACCAGCATGGCTACCACAGCATCCTGCAGCGACATGCCATCCCATCCGGTTTGCGTTTAGTTGGACGATCATTTATTTTTCAACAGGACAATGACCCCAAACACACCTCCAGGCTGTGTAAGGGCTATTTGACCAAGAAGGAGAGTGATGGAGTGCTGCGGCAGATGACCTGGCCTCCACAGTCACCGGACCTGAACCCAATCGAGATGGTTTGGGGTGAGCTGGACCGCAGAGTGAAGGCAAAGGGGCCAACAAGTGCTAAACACCTCTGGGAACTCCTTCAAGACTGTTGGAAAACCATTTCAGGTGACTACCTCTTGAAGCTCATCGATACCGATCCGCATATCGGATCGGGACATCCCTAACAGAAACCAGGTAAAAACAATTTCATTTTGGTGTTAAGGGACCTGCTTTATGGGTTTCATGGTTTCTTTGTGGGGTTTGACTGAGTAAAAGAAAAATATTTGTTTCATGTGTCAAACCACTACAAAAGATATAGGCCTATTTTGTTTGTTGAAGACAAGAAGAAGATATTGAATTTGTTCACATTTTGTTTTGTTGAACCACTGATAAGCTTTTTGGATACTATCTAAATAAAAAACAAACCTTATGGGACAACTTGGATTCATTCTTTTTTTTTTCTTTCTTAATGCTTTGCAAAGTAACGGATCAGACTCGGTATCGTCTCGGTTTCAAAATAAAGGACTCGGTATTGGATCGTATGCAAAAAAATGTGATTGGGACATCTCTAATATCTGGAATGGAGGAAAATCTTAATCATCTGTACAAAAGAGCCTTGAATCTCTACCTGAAGTCTCCAGTCTTGTGGGTGAGCTTGTGGTTGAGCAGGGAGCTCGCATGCTTGTAGGCGCAGGTGCACAGGTCACAGACATATGGCCTCTCATCTGATTCCATGTCATCTGACGCTGTTGTCGCTGGTGCTTGTGTAGGTGCTGGCGCTCGGGACTCCATGGAGAGACTGGAGCTGGAGAGTGACGCTGAGGAGAGACTGGAACTAGAGAGTGCTGCTGAGGACGAAGGGAGCTGATCACACCAGCTGATGGTCGAACTTGGCTGTCAAAGGGGAGAGAAGTACATCAAAGATGAGTACTCCAACATGAGTATATCGACAAGTCATTGACACATTCATGACTGGCTATTTGATAATTTCCTTGGTAAGTGGTAATTTTGATATGAAATTATATTTTCTCCCTTCCCATTTTGAAATACAACAAAACATTTGTCAGTATAATATGGTCCAGGGCTGGGCAATATGGCTTAAAAGTAATATTGCAAATTTTCTAAGCTACATCATGATACACAGTATGTACAGACCTCTTGAAATCTCCTCCAAAGTCCTGTAGACTACAAAAATACAAATGTATTAAATGAACTATAGTTAGAAAAAAACTTAAGTAGCTACTGTTAAAATAAAGCTAAAGTACTGTTTCAATAAAGTTAAAGTACTTTTTTAATAGAATTTAATAAAATACTGTTTTAAATAAGTTGAATATTGTTATAATTAAATAAATAAAAGTAAAACCACTGGTGCTTTTATTTTGAAGCACACAGTTCATCTCAGGCAGGAAGTGAGCTTGAAGCTTCTGTTTAAACGCTAATTGTTAGCAGTTGGCACAAAGTTTAACTGTTGTCGCAGTGCCTTTTCAACATGAGGATTTATTCACTGTGGCTGGAAAAACATAATAACAGCTCTCCTGTGTATGTATTAATAATATTTGCAAATCAGAGTGACAAAATAGTAACGTTAGCGTTCTGGAGCCCTGCAGACAAGAAACACACCACACTTGCTATGGCTCAGGAGAAAGTGGATGGTTGGAGGATTGTGTGTGACGAATCAGTCTGTGAGTCATTTTTTTTTTTTTGGTGTGCATGTCTCTAAGAGAGAGAGAACCACCGGAGAGGATGAGAGAACCAAAATGCAGAAGTGAGTCTAAAGCCAGTGGCTTAAAAAAATGATGTGACCACTTATGCTCAATGTTCGCAAAATAGTCATTTTATAGAGCTCACGTCAAACAAGCTGCAATACATCGAGTATATTCAATATATCACCCAACCCTAATATGGGCCAAGGTTGCTTAAACTACTATAGATGCACTCATCAATCAACGTGACGGGATTTGGCTAATGTTCTACTTGACCAGCAGTGACCAGTGACTAGCCTGTCACTCTGCAAAATAGTAGATCCTGTGCTGAGCAAAATAATATGCATAAACTGCACAACCTCTTCTCATTACCAGGTTGTCAAATACCAAGGCTTTGTCACGCCCCCTTGTGAGTGACTTTCCAGATCATCTAATGACTTTATTTCTAAATATCCACTAACAACAAAATTCGGAACTTATTCACAACATTGGGAAAAATGTTATATTTCATTCACATGCATGCAGCTCAGAGTTACTGCAGTGACTGGCTCTTCTGCCATCAGCGTGGGGTCTCTCTTTACCTCTTGTGCCATGCCAGGAGGACACTGCTCGCCACAGGAGTGGGAGTTTCTATACTGCCTACTGAACACACACCTCTACCTTCCTCTAAAATAGTTTTGTATACATAAATACATAGTTTTAGATAGATAATTAGTTGACTATCATATTCCTATATACACTATAGATTAATATTTTCTCTGATATGTAACATATGTATGGGGCGCCTGTGGCTCAGGCAGTAGAGCAGGTCGTCCTCTAATTCGAAGATCAGCAGTTTGATCCCCCAGCTCATCCAGTTCGCGTGTTGAAGTACAGGTGAGCAAGATAGTGAACCCCAAATTGCTCCTGATGGTTGTGCCATCGGTGTGTGAATGTAACAGGAGGCACCTTGTATGGTTACCACTAGTGTGTGAATGTGTGTGTGAATGGGTGAAAATGACTTAGTGTAACAGCGCTCTAAGTGGTCAGACGACTACAAAGTCAAGTTTAAGAGCAAGTGCATTTACCATCCATTTAAAACTAAAATTATAATAAAATAAAATAAAATGTATAATTCATTTGAGCATATGGATCTGTTGCACCTACTTTCTTGTTAGATAAAGTGGGATATACTGTAATTCATTTTCAGTTGAATTTTATTTATACAAAAAGGCTCTAAAAGAACAAAAATTGTTGGGTATGCTGTTAAATCGTACAATTGGAATCAGCCAAAATTGGAAATTGAGGGTCAGACTTTTTAAAATGTTTTAAATTCTCTTAAATTTCTCGTATCATTTCTCTTAGTTTTTGGTTAAAAGAAAAAAATAAGTCAACTCCAAATGCACCAAAAGTTTTTAAACATCCAAACTTGCTCTGACCTGAGTGTACTCAAGTGATGAGCCCCACTTGATCACAAGCCACTTATTAGAATAAGTAAAGCCCGATCACCATTCTGTAAGGGCAGGTGTTGTTCCATGTGTAAATACTCTGGCACATGCCCAAGAATCTTAGATGCCACCAAAAAAGGTTGTAAGAAAAAGAACTTCTGCATTAATGAAATCAATAGGGGTGGGAATCAGCAGAGGCCCCATGAAACAATATCATCACAATACCTCAGTCATGATACACTAGTATTGTGATTTCAAATGTGTTGCGATATGCTGAGTATTGTTGTAACATGTACTGCAAAATACTGCGATTTATTACATTTATCAACTGCAAATTATGTTTCAAGAGAACTTTTTCAACATCTGTTTAAAGATATAATTTTCAGTCATTTAGCTAATTTCATTTCAATGATTTTGATTGCGGCAAACTGTATCTAGTGACCTGTAAAAGCAATTGATCATATTATCCTAGAAGGCTACCAAAAGTTAATTTGTATTTGTAATTTCAATAATTTATGTCATTAAAAAGTGATACCTCGGTCCATTGGTCAATACGATATTTCCACGCCAAAAATATCACAATACTATGCTGTATCAACTTTTTCCCCTACCCCTAGAAATACTGTGCTGTTAAATAAACTTAAACAAAGTAAACATGAATTCCCAGAATGTCAGTACTGGTGTTACTAGAAAATTAAAACCCAGCAACGACAATGACATTAGTGATGCTGTTAATGCTGTATCAGCAGCAGGCGTGGATAAACTACTAATATCACAAAAATTAAATACTCTGCTACCATTAAAAGGTGTGCATTAAAAATGTTACTGAAGTAAAAGTATGTAACTGCAATAATCATCATAATGTATTTATGTATTCAAAGTAAAAATTTAAAATAATTATTAAAATAATAATAATAACCAAGTCCTCATACTTGAGAAGCTGGAACCATGAAATGTTTTGGGGTTTATTTTGCAATAAAAATGACTTCAACAATTATCAAAATGGTTGCCAATTAATGCGCTTATCAAATCACTAATTGTTTCAGCTGCACATTTTCACATGGTTTGTGTCCAGAAATATTAATTCGTAAAGTAACTAAAGTCATCACATAAATGTAGTGGATTAAAAATGTAAAATATTTCCCTCTGAAGTGTATTGAAGTAGAAGTGGCATGAGATTAAAATGCACAAGTAAAGTAAAAGTACCTCAAATTTGTACTGATGTACAGTACTTGAGTAAATGCCCTTAGTTACATTTCAGGACTGGTCAGCAGAGGGATGCAAAGTCACTGAAATTACAGTAATTTGCATCAATGGACCAGGTATGGTGGTATTTCCTAAGCCCTAAAATTTAAAACCCAATCATTATAATTACTCAGAAACATAATCTAAGTTTGACCATGTCAAATTCATGCATTTTTTAAAAATTGTCCCAAAATTTAAGTTGTGTTTTTTCTCACACAGTTTGTGGACTGTGAAAACAAAATGTTTTTGTTTTTCTTATCTTGGTTAGGGTTCTCGACCAGAGCAAAACTAAGAAAAAATGGTGAATATCTGAAATCAATGGGTACTTACAAAATAAGAACAAATCATGGATACGAACAAAATAAAGAGAAAATGTGTATTTTTCTTGCATGAGTGCACATGCAACTGAGTGCATACACTGACACTATGAGGTATGTCTTAGTATGTGTCATGAATTCCTTAAATGATGATCATTCTACCAAGCCCTGCTTTAGTCAGTGGGCTTAACATCTCATTCAAAACATAAAACATTGCTTTACATTGGCCTGTCGTAGAATACATGACAGGTGAAAATGATGTGCAAGTGTAAAGCTTTGAAAACAGGCAGCTCAGCACCACGGACAGCAACTCTGCCCAATTTATAGATCTGCATGGGCCTTAAACTGAGCCAGTCTAATGCAACACATCATCTGCACTCTGTATATTTTGCTTCTATTACTGAGCATTGCATCTACTTGCAACACATAACCCAGACTTCAGTGATAGGCCCAGTCACAGAGGAGCCGAGAGAAATTTAAAAATGACATTTGACAACAACCAAACCCAGCCTGAGACTAAAGCTTCACATGACAAAATGTCCAGAGCTAGAACTCTAGCCTACATCACCTCAGTAGACACAAGCTTCTTCCTGCCCAGCGCTCACATGTCTGCAGATGAAGACGCAGTCTCAAAAAAATTGTAATGGTACAGTATAGCACTATTATCTTTTGCAAATACACTTTCTTTGTTCCCATTTGTTCAGTGTGGACTCTGTACTCAGTGTAACTTAGGAAAACAAATGCAAGTGGACAACAACACAAGAAAATGAAAAAAACATCTTTGTGACTTTAACAACATATCAAGAACAACTGCTGCAAACTGAGAAACACACTGACCTAATATATGTAAATGGGATTGACAAATCATTAAAAACACCACTCAATAAAATGCACTTCGGTTCAACACCACTGCAAACTTCAACCTCCATAACAAACAAATAGGTTGGTTAAATTAACACCTCTCTGACAGTGTCAATCAAATTGAACTGAACATTATCTTCGTTAAGGCAGAATATGAGGCATGGTGTACAGAAACTATAGATGTACCGATACCACTTTTTCCTTCCCGATACCGATTCCGATCCCTGAACCTTAGGTATCTGCCGATACCGAGTACCGATCCGATACCAGTGCGTAAAAAAAATGGATGGGATATGAATTGTTGTATGTCTCAACTCCTGGCAGTCGGAGGCATTTCCGATACTGGTATCGGTATCCATACAACTCTAACAGAAACACACTGAAAAAATAAAAACACAAGCTATTAAGTTTCTCATGTCGCCAAGATACTTCTGCTGTTGTGTCTGACTATCTGCATTTGCTTTAGGATGCTTCTTTACTTGCTGCATCTATGTGGTTACATTTTGTCTTCCTATGATGCAATGCATTGAGCTGCCTTGGCTGCATTGGTTAAGAGATCAGAGAACTAAAATAGCAATGGGGAGCTTTTGAAAGTGTCTCCTTATCAATGGCCTCTAAACCACTTTCCTACACTCTACATAAAGTGTGCCTCCTAACACATCAACTGTGAAGGAGCGCCACAGCTCAATGGCTGGGATGGGAGCCACTGTGCATAAGGGCTGCACGATTAGTCAAAAAAAAAAAAAAAAAAAAAAACAACACGCACACACGCACACACACACACACACACACACACACACACACACACACACACAATCTTAATCCATTATCTACGCGATCTCATTTCTTAAATGATGACAATTCACTTGCTCCTACTTCTCTGCAGGACTCTCATGTGTTGACTTATTTGCTGCGGAACTATCACAGTTGCAGTCAATTGTTTCTTCTACCAACAGGATCACTCAGCCCTGAAAGACACTAAATATTTTATTTATGGGTTCTCAGGGTGAGAGCCTTTACTGAGCTTTCCTGTCACTTAGCTGCGTTTCTCTCCCTCCTCTTTTCTCTTCTCTGCTGTGTGCTTCACCAGTGCACACAGACACGGGGCAGAGAAAAGAGGAGAGAAACGCCACCAACACACGATGTTACTTGAGGTAACAAACTTTCGTTAGACTATTGTACGTGCAATTACATCTTCCAAGTAAGTGTAACTTATTAATCTACCTAAAAGCAAAGATAGACACGTCAACCCCAAACTAGTCAAACCTAAGCTGACAGGCTTCTGTGTGTTGTGGCTCAACTCAGGTCTGTGCAGCAGCCCCAAGTTTTCAAAGTGTCTGTGTGTTCAGAACTTTTATAGTTTTGAACTGAATCTCTGAGTTTAAGTGTAGCGTCTCTCCTATGTTCAGATATCTGCATTATTTTACTGTTTTATGTTCACACTCAGGTGGATAGGATTAAGTCACCGCAGATAAAAACTCAATATTTTCTGTTTTGGCTGCTTTACAATCAAATCTATTAAATAACAAAACAACATGGGACTTTGACTGTGAAGAATTTATGGGAAATAAAACGTCCACTGTTACAGGCACTTAACTCAAGACAGGTGTGTCATGTAATGGTCAGTGTGTGTGTCATTTATTCTAAAGCTGTAACTTTACATTATTTTTTAAAAATATCCAGCAGCATTGAAGTTCATCATCTTGATGTTCTAAACTAAAATACTAAATTATTTATAAAATAAAAATTTGAGGTTTCCTTTTGTTACAAGAGACTTTTATGTCCAGCACTGTGATATATGTTACATGTAAGTCAAGCACTTGGATATGTCTTACGTGTATGTCGTCTGTTCAAAGGCCTGTCTAGACAGCAAGCAACTCAGACATGTATATTCACTTGAGCATATAAGAGAGCAATAAATGTTTTTGTTGAGAAAAAAAAGTATTAATGTGAGAGAATCGTGATCTCTATTCCTAAGGAGAAAAATCATGATTCACATTTAAGCAAGAATCATGCAACCCTACTGTGCATACAACAACTGTTACCCATGAGCTATTGTGTGTCCCACAGCATCACACAAAAGCAAAACGACCATCAATGATGGTAAATCATCATTGTGAAGATGTTTGAATACACCCATCTTAGAAAGACACAGGAGAGTGACACCTGGAAAGTGCTGCCAAATCCCCTGAATGACACAAGAGTTCTGGCAGTTAACTACGCAACGGAGAGTTAGGGGAAATTAAAAAACTCTGTGAAATTTGCTAAGATCCCCGTTCACACGCTTTAATAAATACTGATTTATCTTGCATGCGTGTTTGACAACTAAAGATACTTGGCACAATGAAAGTGGCCTGTAAGGCCGCCCACAATCAAATCAAACACAAAAATTAATGTGTGTATGAGTATGTGTGCGCGCGCTGTGCAGATAATCTGACCATGAATGAACCGCACAGTCTGGCTTCACAAAGAGGTCTTTCAAAGTCCTCCGCGGGGCGTCTTCCGCTCCCATTTCCTGTGGGACAGTCCGGTCCTGTTTACTTTGCGCTGTTCGCCAACAATATTCCAGGCGTCGTGCAAACACCTCTGCGTTCATTGATCAATAGACCCTTTACACTTCACGACATTGGAACAGACCCTTTAATATGCCGTTTTATGCAAAATTGGACCCAAAAGAAAAACGCTGCCATGTTTTGCATGGGCTCTAGCGTAAGCTAAGCGCACGGTGTTTGACTGAGGCAGCCAGTGTTGTCTGATGTTAGCATTAGCTTGGTGATGCTTGGTTACAATAACATGTATTTTCCTAACCCTTCGGCGTCTCACACAACACAGCTGTGGCACAGCGCTGGGCATACACGTCCAGTTTCACTAAACCCTATATAGGAGGTGTAGCAGATACAATATGCAGGAGCTAATGGTTACTAGCCACTTAGCATAGCAGCTAAGAGTGAAAGTAGGCCATGAGCCGCTCAGCATGAAGACTGGTACGTTAACGCTAGCATATAGCTACCGAAGCTGTTCTGGAACAAAACTTTCAGCTTCATATCAGTATTACTAAACTGGTGGTCAGACACTCATTTAACAACCCCGTGTAAAAATCAGGATGTGCCCAGTGCTTAGTTAGTAAAATGTTGCTCCATTAGCCTTTTGATAAAGCTATTTCATGGCTGGGTTCGCCAACGTTAGCTAACGGGAGTCGCAGCTGGCTTTCTTACTCCGGAGTCGTTGGGATCCTTTTTCCAGAACAATTGAGAGCAGTGGCCGAAAGACTCTGTCGATGTCACATAATTCACTCCGTTTCTATCTTGAAAGTCTCCGTGTGTGCTGCCGGTATTAGTCCTGGCGTACATCGTCGGTTTTCGGATTCTTCGACTTTTTCTGGCTGAAAAGAAATAGGGCCGCTTTGTCGGGATCTTCTTCCGAAAAGAAAAATATTTCTTCTGTGAAATGAGAGTTTTGGCGGCGGACATATTGAAGCATATGAAACATTACTGCCGCCTGCTGGACTGGAGTGTGAGAACACAGACTGAGCGTGGTGAGCGAACACTTAGTAACAGGGGTGTCAAACTCATTTGACTTCATGGGCCACATACAGCCCAATTTGACCTTAAGTGGGCCGGACCGGTAAAACCAACTAACCTATAACTAACAACACCTCCGACTTTCCCCCTTGTTTTAAAGTAAAGAAGTATTTTCTGAAAACATTAATCTGTTAACAAAACAGATTAACAGCCTGAAATATCGTAAGAAAATAAGAGCAATTTCAATAATATGTTTTAGGGTTGTTGTTTTTTTTCTCGCATTAATCGAATGACACATGTCAAACATTTCTCCTTACATTTTCACTCCTGTGTTGTAATGGCTGACATCACCACACAGGTTAGGCTATCCCCTGTCCGACAAACTTACAAATTAAAAGTTGTGGCAATACCTTAGCAATAGAGTTCCATCAATGTTGTTTTAAGATAGGAGTCTGATACACATTTTTTGTACTGAAGCTGCTGATATGATAATATTGTGCACAGAGTAGCCTACTTGTTGCTTTTCAGAAATGTATTCTGGTCAGGGTGAAAAGCTTCTGAAGCAGCATTTTACATGAAGCAGGTTACTCACTGTTTAACTTACTCCTGAAACCTGCCACCTCTTAGCCTTCACAAGTGTATCAATATCAGGTATGCAAAGTCATCCAGTGGGCTGGATTGGAGCCTTTAGCAGGCCAGTTCTGGCCCGCAGGCTATATTTTTGACGACCCTGGTTTGTAGCCTTACGTCACACTTTATGGCTATTCTCTGTTCTCCTAAATGTTTTTAGATCGAAGTTATGTGTAAAATAAAGATGCACATCATTTGTACAACAGGCTAGTAGTAAATGTTTCAAATATCATCATTTTCATTTCATGCTAGTTTATATTTCTGCTGCAGAGAGAATTATTACATGTTTATGTCTGATAGCTATTAGTCTACTTTACAAGTCAAGATTTTGTATGCAAAGTGTGTGATGAGGTAATAAAATATTACACATTTAAGCCACCCATCAATATGACTTTTTTTTTTTTTTTTTGCCTATAGCCCCTTTCCACTGCAGGAACTTTTATCAATTACCTGGAATTTTGAAAAACCTCTACACATTTCCACCAAAATTACCTGGGTAAAAAACTTTCCCTCAACCCCAAATTTACCCTGGAAAAAAGTACCTAGCAGAGGGGTAGGACCAAAGATACTGGATTACTGCTACTACTGGTTTATCCACTTTCTTTGGTAGGACTTTTCAGATTACCCGGAATTCTTGAGGGGCGGGGCTGTGTGCCGAAAACACTGATCGGTGGAGCACACACTTGCAGCGTTCCGCACTTCCTGGTACAGGCAGCCACCACAAGCTTTATTTCATTTCTACAAGCTTCATTCACAGACACTAACGTTATGTCCTACCCAAGGACAGCACGCTAGTTCAGCTGATAGCGAATTGTTACTAATAAGCTGAAATGACAGCTGTCTGTATGTAGACTAACTTTGACACTTATCTTAAAATACTTTTAAACTTAGCTGCTGGCTGAGACAAACAGCCCCAACTCTCCCTACACCGACATGTAGCCTAACCAGCCAAGCTGACGGAGCCAAATACAGGACACATGCCGAATCACCTACGTCATCACGCTAATTTGAATACATTTTCCGGAACTTTGAGGTGAGGTGGAAACGCAAACCACACAGATTACCAGGAATTATTGGTAAACAAATTCCTGGAAATGTTGGTGGAAAAGGGGCTTGTGTTACAAACTTTTACTTATGTAATTATGTAACTAGCCTACACGTACTTGTAATGGAGTACTTTTACAGTGTGATAGCCCATCAGTCAAGCAAAGTATCTGTATACTTCCATATTTTCTTTAGGCCTAAATTTTTGTAAAAATGTAAATAAAGATTTTCTGAATAAGTTCGTTGAAAGGACTAGATGTTGCAATCCCTCTTGTAGCACCACTTCTAATTCATGGGAAGTTCTTGAAAGATGGCTGCTATGAGGCTTTACCACCGGGACACATTGTCAGTTGTGTACCTCAGCATCGACGGGTGTTTTGGCCATTTAACACAAGACACCCTCCACTGAGGCAGGCCCACCACGGGTTGATCAAGCCTGGGTGTGTGTCCCAGGGTTAGCTGTTTGCCTTAGTCTTTTCTTTCAAATTCATCCATAGGTGGAAATTCCGGGGGAAAGGGACAATTTTAAACTATATAATAATAAAAACTGAAAGCACTTGGGCCAATTATATACGCAACACAATGCATTCATAGCTTTAAAAAGATTGTTGTAGCAGTGTAAAGGAAACTGAGCTCCAGTAAGTAGGCTAACTACTTTGCAAAAGTTCACTTAAAACAAGAGACATGTTGGACACCTTTATTTACTTCTACTTTTCAACAGAATAGATTACCAGTTGTAACCAGACAGCATTTTGTTCACTTCATTACTTCATGGTTTAATCTTCCGTGTGAACGCAGCAGTCATACAAACAGCCCAGCCGCTAAAAATCATTCTAAACTCAAAGAATTTGGGACCAATTTTAGAGCAGTTTGGATTGTTACAATTTACAGAAGTGTGTTTATGAAAGAGAATACTTCATTCTCATACCAGTTTTTTTTTTATCATCTTTTGTTAATGGTAACTGTAATATTTCTATATTTAAAATCAACATACCTTAAACAATTAAGCATTTAAAGTCATTGCCATGGTGCGATTTTGTTTATAATCTTTTAAATAAATGAAGAATTGATTAAAAAAAATGACATAATTACAGCAAACACTTATAAAATCAAGTCTCTGGCAGCCTTTATAGTGATGTGAACGTTTTTTGTTTTTTTTACTGACATTAAAACCAATAAATCTGCTTTGGGAAAATTAAATATATATTCACTGAACAGGTTTTGCCTCTCTCCTACTACTGTAAATAACCAGCATGGTGTGTGTGTGTGTGTCTTTTTTATTTGCCAAGTTTTAGACTTGAGTTGAAAACTTGCTGAAACACTCGAGATATTAAAGTCCAGGGCTTTATAAATGAATCTAAATGAATTAATATATCACTGATGTGTATAGGTGCCACAAACAATTAAACAGGTTACTGCCCCAGACCAAGGACACAGTGTAAACCATGCTCCATGTGTGCTGACTCAACAGAGATGACATTAAAGTTGATTTACAGGAGACCAAAATATTAGACAGCAATACAGAATTCATGAAAGCCTTACTGCATAATGTTACATCATAGCCCATTTTTGTATTCTGAATCCTCACCTGCTGCCTGAATTTTCTTTACATAGACATTACCACCATAAAATGGTGCATAAAACTATACCAGAATGCAGGAAATAAAGTGTTTGATGCTACAAAATTTCCTGGGGGAGGTTCCTCCAGACCCCCACATCATATGCATCCCCACCAATGTAGAAATGAAACTTACATCTTTGGTGAAGTGTGTAACCATAAAAGGCTTCCAGTAGTACCAAATGTCAGCTCAATGCAGACATGACACAGAGCTAAACTCCAGTGTCCTCTTAATGTAGCAGAGATCAGTGGACTAACATTTTAGGTTAAAAAAATAGTTCATTGCATTTTTGTGACCATTTTTGAGGCCACCTCTCTGTTGAGGCCTAAGCCCTCCTCTCATAAGAGGCCCACGACCACCTCTCAGAAGGGATGCGTGACCCCTGCCAATCCTTTGACCACCATGTCTTCCTTGTCTTCCTCTTCCCATTGCTTGACCTCTGTTGTGATCACCTGCCAGCTCCATGTTACTGTACTGAAATCGCTTGTGCTGTCATGGATCCCACTCATTTATACTCATACCACAAGGTGAAATCAATCATCAGTAACGTGTTGAGAGTGTTGGAAAAGCAATTACAAGGGCCTTTCATGATCTAAACATTAAATATTGTTCAGCAGTTTCCATAAAAGTGTGTGTTAAGAGAAATGCAAGTTTAACTTATTATTTTGGGCAGTTGTATACATTGATAGTTAGATCATTGTAATGAAATGAATAGACAGTCATCTCAGATGTAATGTGTGAATTGCATTTTGAAATGGTAATACTTTAATGTTAAGTTGTGTCATTTTGAACAGGTGATTTTAGTTAAATGAACAAATGATCTTGGGTTAGTGTGTATAGTATCCAAGCAATTGGAAAAAGTGTTAGCAGTTTTGAAAAAAATGTGCATTTTGATAATTAGTTTTGAGTTTTGTGTCTAGAGATGTGCAAAGGGATATCAAGGTTCTGAAATTAGAGCTGAAGTCATTGTAAAAAACTGTAATACATTCCATCACACTTTCAATCGGCCAAGGCTCATTTTACACTACACATACCCTCAACACACACACACACACGCACACACACACACGCACACACACACACACACACATACACACATAAATACATGGACACACTCACATAAGAAGAGTATTTCTAAACACCATGTATCATCATGTAAAATGCAGTGTTTTATGCAGTGTAAAACTGCAGTTTTGTGCCTCAAAACATGTGTGTGTGTGTGTGTGTGTGTATGTGTATGTGTATCATTGCAAATTTGCAAATCGTTGTTTTCAGATTCCACCAGGAGGAGACAGACGCTACCAACAGTGACCCTGTATAGGAACATCAAATTGATCTGGAGTCCATATTTATGGTTTGTTAATGTTAACACAATATGAAATAGGCTACAATATTGATTAACATCAACTCCATGCTACTCTTTCTAAAAGACAATTCATATCAAGGTGTTGTGATGTTGTATTTCACAAGGTCATTCATTGTTCATTGTTGCAGCTGCTTTAAGAGAATGTGATGACGTTTATGAAGAATGAGCTGGAAATCTTTCAGAGCATCCTTTGTTCAGATTGTCATAAAGATTCAGAGGGTCAGAAGAAAAGGGGAGACATGGTG